GCCTCCATGTATTCCTGTTCTTTACAGTTTTTTTCCCTGTGATTGATTTCTAATCTCATAGTGTTGTGAGGAGAAGATGCTTGATACAATTACAATTTTCTTAGATTAACAAGGCTTGATTTGTGACCCAAAATGTGGTCTATCCTGGAGAATGTTCTATGTGCACTTGAGAAGAAAATGTATACTGCTGCTTTCAGATGGAATGTCCTGTAAATATCAATTAAATCTATCTGGTCTAATGTGTCATTTAAGGGTTGTATTTCCTTATTAATTTTCTGTCTAGATGATCTGTCCATCCACGTGGTGTAAGTGGGTTTTTTTTTTTTTTTTTGGTAGGTGTTTTATACTCCAAACTCATGGCTCAGGTCATTTAAAATAAAACAAAAAGCAAGTAACCTAGGAAGGGACATGTTCATAGAATTGTAAAAATAATATTTTTAAAACATATGCTGATTCATAACAAAGCTGATATATACATTTAATTTTAAACACTAGCTTATATTTTTTAAACATGCATATTTTTTGAAGGATTTTTATCTGTTACATCTTTATCATGCTATTTGAAAAATAGGGTTTTTGTTCCCTCTTGTGATAGTAATACGGGCTCATTCTATCCATTTTGGGGGCGGGGGCGCTCTGCTACACAGCTTGTGGGATCTTAGTTCTCCAACCAGGGGTCAAACGTGGGCCCCTAGGAGTGGAAGTATAAAGTCCCAACCACTGGACGGACTATCAAGGAATCCTAGCAATTTTTATTTTTTTAATAAAGAAGAAAAAAATGGAGGAAAAGAAATTCCTATAGCTGCACTACCCAAAGTCAACTACAGTTGATATTTCTGTACTTTCAGTTATTCACACCTTCCTGCAAACAAATACATGACAGACCTGTGCGCAGGTGAATTTCTGTGTCCTTCTATGTCGAGGTTTCATTTCTATTTTAGTATAGCAGCAACCACACTCTTATTCAGCCGCCGTTCACTGTCACTCTGCTACAGTAAAGAAACTGCGGGAGATGAGATGTTAAGCGAATCCGTGTCACTAAGTAGCAGAGCTGGATTCAGGGAGGAGGCGTTCCTGGTGGAGGTGTGCGCTTATGTATATGTACTAGGCTTTTTGGACACCTTTTGCTTTTTTAGATCAGGTTGGTTGTGTTAGTCACTCAGTCATGTCCAACTCTTTTGCGCCCCCATGGACTGTAGCCCACCAGGCTTCTCTGTCCGTGGGATTTCTCATGCAAGAACACTGGAGTGGGTTGCCATTCCCTTCTCCAGGGGATCTTCCCGACCCAGGCATCAAACCCAGGTCTCCCGCATTGCAGGCAGATTCTTTACTGCCTGAGCCACCAGGGGAGCCCAAAATAAGCACTGTGAGCCAGCCAGGAGTCAAACCTGGAATCTTCTGATCCATCTGTAGTCAGGCGCATTATCCATTGCGCCACTGGATAAATATGGCTCTTTTTTCTTTTTTGAGAATTTTTTTTAAAATGTTGTCCAAATGATAACATTTTTTGTTTGTTTTAAGAAATCTAGGGGATTTCCCTGGCAGTCTGCTGATTAGGACTCTTCGCTTTCACTATGGATGATGCGGGTTCAATCCCTGGTCCGGGGAACTAAGATCCCACAAGCCATGTGGCATGGCCGAAAAAAGAAAAATTTTCTTTTTAAAATTTATCTTGTGCAGTTATATTTAACATTTTCACAATAGTAAAGCCATTTTCATAAATAAAGCTCAGGTTTTTAAAGTCAGCATTTCTTACAAGGATCGCTGACTCTTTGGGCATCCATGAAAATTATTTTCCCTTTAAGAAGAGTTCTGTGACAGAGATATTTAGAGTTCACCATGTACTCCCCTATATTTTCCATCTGCCCTTGTAGTTAGGCAGGACCATGTGCCTTTGGGGACAAAGCTTACAAGAGTAGGCACAAGTCCCCAGTGTTCTTTCTTCCCCTGCTGTAGTAATTGTAGGGGCTATACATTGAGATGATAGAGTCTCCAGGTGGAATTAGCCTGGATCTCCAAGGCACTGTTTGCAAAGAAGCTACCCTGAAGAGACACTGACCCACAAGGGAGTTCTCATGGGCTAAAAAATAACTGTCACGTGTTAGGGAACTAAGATCCCGTGGTCTGTATATTGCCACAGTATAACCTGGTCTATGCTAACTAACCCAGATCCACACTCTCCATGATTGAAAGAGCGTGGGAATTGCTTTGGAAACTGACACCAAGCTCTGTCTCGTAACTGTTGTCTACTTCTCGTAGGTGTACATTGTTTCTTCCCTGGAATAGTTAAAAAGCTATCAGTTAATAAAGGCCAAAGGTGAATGACTGCTTCTACAAAAGACCTTCCAAAACCCTGTACACAAATAGTGGAGCCCTAGAACCCAGGGACAGTGTGATGTGGAGTTTGGGGAGTGGAGTCAGGGGCAGCCTCTCCTTCTCATGGAACCCAGGCCAGCTCCTGCGTCTTAGGAAGCTGAGGCTTTGGAGTGACCAGCAGATGGCATCTGTGACACAGGCATCAGTGCACAATCTCTGTCTCTGTTTCTATGTCCCTCTTTCTCTCCAGCTTTATTCAGGTATAAAATTGTAAGATATTTGATGTGTACATCGTGATGCTTTGATATACATACAATGTACATACAATGTATGTATGTATAATATACATACATATAATACAATATAATATACATACATACATACACACATACATACCTCATATATTGAGCCTGTTTTTTTTTTTCCTGGTGAGAATATTCTCTCCTAGCAAATTTTAAGTATATATTATGATGTTATCAATAATAGTCACCATGTTTTATGTCAGATCGTTAGCTCTTATTCATCCTATATTTGAAAGTTTGCACTGTTTCTTCAACTTTCTTAATGCCCAAACCCTCCAGTCCCTGGCAACCATTTTTCTACTCTTTGTTGCTGAGTCCAGCTGTTTTCTTTTTCTTTTTTTTTAGATTGCACACATAAGTGATTGCATGAACTATTTGTCTCTCTCTATCATAGTGCCCTTAAGGTCTATCCACATTTTCCCAAATCAACCCTCTTTTAAGAGACATCAGCAGCAGGGATCATAGTGATGTCCCTTTAAGCAACCTCAAAGGCTTTAATATTAACATTAACCAGGGTTATTAGGAAAGGAGAGAAGCAAGTGGATAGAGGATGCTGTGGGTTGACTGTGGCTCACAGATTGGTTTGTGAGCCACAGTTAAGATGTTTCTTTGGGGAATGCTATAAATAATTCGGATGCACCATGAAGTGAAGTGGGGGAACAAACTGAGCTCCAGCCATAAATGTTGGTGGAGACTTTGAATTATTGCAATTAAGGCATCAAACTTTGTTGTGGCCTGATTTATACTTGAAGGTTATTGAAGCCTGCAATACATTACTATGCTTCCCTGATGGCTCAGTGGTAAAGGATCTGCCTGCCAATGCAGGACATGTGGGTTCAATCCCTGGGTGAGGAAGATCTCCTGGAGAAGGGAATGGCAGCCTTCTCCAGTATTCTTGCCTGGGAAATCCCATGGACAGAGGAGCCTGGTGGGCTACAGACTGTGGGGTCGCAAAAGAGTCGGACACAACTTAGCCACTAAACAACATTACTTACACACATGTCAAGTCAAGTGATAGGGAACATTTTCTGCTACATAGCAGGGATTTAAAATTGGAAAAAGACAAGACCTCCATGTTTCCCCTGGAAATGAGGAAAGTATGGGACAGAGGGTGAGAGCTGCTGTGGTGTAGGTGGTGAAAAGCTCACAGCACCCCCTCAGAAACTATTCAGATGTGCTGGAGGAAACTGTACATACCCAGCAATCTGTGTTTCAGATGGTAGTCTCAAATATTAAGGGGAAATTTCAAGGCAATATTTGAGATCCAGGTTAAAAAAAAAACAACAAAAAACCTGACAACTCAAAAGAGTTCCACAGATATGAGAAATTGTAAATACTGTATGTTCATAATTAATATATATGTGTATATTTAAGCTGTATAGCTAACACCAAAAACAGCATCACTGGTAGTTGTCTTTGGGTGATTTATTTCTGGTTCTAAGCTTTTCATATTTTCTCTCTTTTCCTTTATGAGCAAGAGTAACCTTTACACTGGGAATAAAAGAGTTTCCTGGCCACTTGCCACACTTCTTGCTCCTGAGCTCTCTAAAGATCACAGGGCTTCTCTGTTGGTTCAGATCTTCCTTCCGTTCTCATCTATAGGCCTCCCAGGGGTCATCATCTGATCAGAGCATCACAGTTAAACCAACTGCTGTCCTGCTCAGTATCTGGCTGAACTCTTAGAGTAGACGCTGGGGAAAGATTTATGTGTTAGTAGGAAGAACATGGTAAAGCAACTATATAACTATTATTTTAAAACTGGGGCATCGACTTCTTTTGTCTCTGCTTTCATTTGCTCTGGTGTGAGATCTTTATAAGGTGTAACAGCTTCTAGGTTGTCTGTTTTTACTCTAGTTGAAATGGAAGGGAGACTTGGCATTTCAGAAGGAAATGAACAGAAAGGAAAAAGCAAGCAAGTAATTGCTTTGCTAAAGCAATTTTTTTGTATGTGCTATCAAATACCTTATCGACAGTTATTAATGATTATCAATACATGTCAACAATCCCCCAGAGGGCTTATTTATATTAAGACAGTGTACCTAGATTTTAGAACTTTTAAAATTGAAGCCTTGGTACAGCTATTACCTGAAACCATGTTTATACTTGGTCCAGATGTTTCAAGTTGGTGAGGAAAGAGAAGCCCAGGCCATCCATTTGTTCCCGTTATTAATAATATGTCAAACGTGCAGTTGCTTTTCATTCTGGTTATGTTGCTAAAAAGAGCTCAGGGAACCAAAAGTCAGGAAGGACTTCTGCACTTGTCGCTCCACTGAACTGGCCCTGCCTCTTTCTCCAGCCTTCATGCACAGGCACTGCCATATATTGCCCTGTTCTGCCAGAGACTGTGGGCAACTCAGCTTTACATAATATTTAGGTGATCACATGCCTTTTCTTTTTAAACTCCTACAGATTCTTGGCTTCGCTGCATTTTCAAACAAGGTAAACATGGCCACAGAAAACAGCCTGATGATCATTGAGATGATACCTTATAGGTTGGTAATTCCACTTTTCAAGACTACTTTCTCCTTCCTGTGTCCTCCTCTTAGCCTCTGACCACATAGCCTGATTTTATATCGTTGACCAAAATCAATAGCATGCCAGTTATTTCTCCAGCAGAGACGGGTTTCCTTGAGATCAGCAGAGAATTGCAGTTTGGGGTGTGGGAGCATGGCAAGCCACATGCAAGTCCTCCGACAGCAGGGGAAGAAGTGTTTATAGAGGGGAGGATAAAACTGGGGAGGGAGGGTTTGCCGTGGTAAACAGTCTAGGGCTTCTCATTAGCTGAGTCCTTTGCGGGCAGGGAGTGTTTCTTCTTCCTGCTGGGCTCTGCAACGGTCACAGGGTGCGAGTGCTCCCCCTGCTGTCTCCAAGTCTGCTTAATTAGTTTCTATGGGGAAAAAAAAATATATATATATATATATATTGGCTAACAGGCTATCGGCCTGTCTCTGGTCACAGGCAAATTTGGGTCATGGACTCCAGTTCATTTTAGAACAGAGGTCCTAAGGGACAATGGCTGAGACAAGCCTGTGTTTCTTCTCTGGTCAGCCTTTGACTCTCTCCCCATAGTTGTGCCAATCACCTAAGCTAAGTAAACTCAAAAACCAGGGAGACTCCTGTATTTTTCTCACAGCACATTATGAACCTTCTCAACTTCCAAACCTATCTGATTAACCCTCAGGGATGGGACAAGACATACCTCTGTTTTCCAAGCCTCTCTCCTGGGGTTCAGTCTTCAGCATCCTTTCTGTCTTCACCTGCTTAGACTGATTCAGTGTCCTGGCGCTACATCACTTTATCACTGTCAGTGGAAAGCCTTCTCCAAGTAGTCTGGCATTACAGAGTTCTTAAGGACCTGCAATTAATTTACATTATGGTTCCTAGCAGTGACTGTGGGGCCTCACTCTTGCTTCTGTTAGGGAATTAATTCTTTAACCTTGACCAGATGAATCATTTCAGCTAAGAAAGGCAACATAACACAGTTTCTTGGCTCATGAGAAGGTTTTTGAGGAGCATTGTTCACTTCCTCATGCTCTTCACCAGAGAATATAGCAACGAGTCAGTGATACTGGTTAACTTTCAGCATACAAAACAGAGGCTACTTTGATGCAGCCAGATAATCTCATATACTACCACTTCTCAGTGAAATCTGGTGATGATTAAATACATTTAAAATATTGTTCAATTTTTTAAAACTGTGAGCAGACAAGCTAGGTACCAGGAAATGCTATGGTAAATAAGTCTCTGCCCTCTGGGAACAAATGACAAGGGCAACAATGAGATTGATGCTTTACATAATTATTTTATTTCATTTGTTCCTGGTAGTATTACTACAAGATATTCTTTTTTTGGCTGAGGAAACTAAGAGTTACCAAGTTTAAATAACTCATCTACGCTCACATAGCTGGTCAGCATCAGAGCTACTTTCTGAACCCATTTCTATTTAATTCCAAAATCTAGTATAATAACCCCTCTATTATACTTACTCAACATTGCTGCTGGTATTAATGACTTCAAAACCACACAGTTAACCTCTGCTTATATTTTATCATAAGTTTCAAATGTACGGATAGAGAAAAAGCATTTCAGAAATGTAATTTTAGGTATCACTTTTAACCTCTCTTTATTGCTTATCTATGCAAGGTTGCTAGAGATTAGGAAAATTGAATAATTTATGTTAGCATCCATGTCCTTCTTTAACTAAATTGCTAACAAAGAACTGAATGTACAGAGACCACCAGAAAGGAAAAAGCAGTAGGTTTGTACTATTAATGTTATCATAATAAATATTTAAGGTTTACTGACACAGACTTGGGCATGAAATTAAACTTCATGAATTTCATTAAATTCATGAAAATTAAAATCTCTTGTGTATCAAGAGACACTATCCACAGAGAAAAAAGACAACTCACCAAATAGGAGAAAATGTTTGCAAATTATGTATGATAAGGAATTAATATCCAAAATACATAGAGAACTCCTAAAACACAATGGAAAACAAACAACCTGACTCAAAAAGTGGGGAAAGAATTTGAATACACATTTTTCCAAGGATAATACACAAATGGCCAATGAGCACAAAAGATGCTCGACATCACTAATCATTTGGGGAATGCAAATCAAAACTACAGTGAGATACCACCTCATATTCATTAGGTTGGCTACTATTTTAAAAAAGACAGAAAATAACAAGTATTTGATGAGGATGTGGAGAAAATGGAACCCGTGTGCACCGTTAGTGGGAATATAAAATGTATAGCCACTGTGGAAAGTAGTATGCTGATTCCTCAAAAAATTAAAAATAGAATTGCCTTATGACCAAGCAGTTCTACTTCTGGAAATATCCTTCCCCCAAATTATACTCCCCCCAAAAACAGTATCTTGAAGAGATATTTTTGCACCTATATTCATAACAGCGCTACTCACAATGGTTGAAATGTGGAAGAAACAATAAGTGTCCATCAATGGATGAATGAATAAACAGAATGTGTTATATCCATACAATAGAATATTATTGAGCCTTGAAAAGGAAGGAAATTCTGTCATTAACTACAACATTGATGAACCTCAAGGGCGTTATTCTAAGTGAAACAAGCCAATCACAAAATGACAATTACTATTTGATCCCACTTATCTGAGGTACTTAGTAGTCAAAATCATAAAGACAGAAAGTCATATGTTTTTTGTCAGGGCTGGAGGGAGGGGGGAAATGGAGAGTTATTGATATACTTATTAGTATATATTATTAGTATATACTTATTAGTATAGAGTTTCAGTTTTGCAAGATGAAAGAGTTATGGAGTAGATGGTGGTAATGGTTGCATATTATGAATGTATTTAAAAACCACTGAACTGTACATTTTAAAGTGGGTTAAAATGGTAAATTTCATGTTATGTGGATTTTACCCAGTTTTTAAAAAACTGGATAAAAAAAGATGTGGATAAGAACCAGAACAATTTTTATAAAGGACAGTGACTAAAATTATAATTGGAATGATTTGAGTCCAACTAGAAGAGAATACATTGAGGTTTTAGCTCTAAACCATCTTAGATACGATATCTGCCTATTGCTTACCCACTGGTATGATCTCAAATAGTGTAAATAAGCCATTTTTCATCAAGTTTTGTAGTTTTGCCTGCTCTATTTGTTGCCACTGGCTCTTAGCAGAAACCTCAAACTACTAGATAAGCACATCATGTTCTCTTAATGGCTTTTGTAACTTGGCTTGATTTACTGGCAGTTTTGGCAAGCTGCTGCCTCAGTTTCTTTTCTTAACTCTTAATTTTTTGAAGAAAGATCAGGCCTGGGACTTCCCTGGTGGTCCACCAGTTAAGAATCTGCCTGCCAGCCTGGATGGGAGGGCAGTTTGGGGGAGAAGTGCGTGAGCACTCAGTCATGTCCAACTCTGTGACCCCATGGACTGTAGCCCACCAGGCTCCTCTGTCCGGGGGATTTCCCAGGCAAGAATACTGGAGTGGGTTGTCATTTCCTATTCCAGGGGATCTTCCCAACCCAGGGATCGAATCCTCATCTCCTGCCTTGGCAGGCGGATTTGTTACCACTGAGCCACCTGGGAATCCTTGAGGGAGAAGGGAATCCTTGTATGGCTGAGTCCCGTCGCTGTCCAGCTGAAACTATAACAACATTCTTAACTGGCTATTTGCTGTCGTTTAGTTGCTCAGTCCAGTCCGACTCTTTGCCATCCCATGGGCTGTAGCCTGCCAGGCTCCTCTGTCCATGGGATTTCCCAGACAAGAATACTGGAGTGGGCTGCCATTTCCTACTCCAGGGGATCTTCCCAACCCAGAAATCCAACCCAAGTCTCTTGCTTGGCAGGCAGATTCTTTACCACTAAGCCACCAGGGAAGCCCTTAATTGGCTACACCTCAATATAAAATAAAAAGTTAAAAAAAAAATCCACCTGCCAGTGCAAGGGATACCGTTTCGATCCCTGGTCCAGGAAGATCCCACATGTGGCAGGCCAACTATGCCCATGGGCCACAACTACCAAACCAGTGCCCTAGAGCCAGAGCGCCGCAGCCACTAAAGCTCCTGTGCCTAGAGCTGAGTTCTGCAACAAGGGAAGCCGCACAGTGAGAAGCCCATGCACCACACTAGAGAGTAGCTCCCGCTTGCTGCAGCTAGAGAAAGCCCACGTGCAGCAATGATAACGTGGAGCAGCCAAAAATAAGTAAATAAATATGTTTGAAAAGTGTCAGGCCTTTTGATATGGATGATAAAGGTATGATAAGAATAGAGTGGGGGAGGTGCCCATAATGATTCCTGCTATCTAGGAATAATTCCACCATTTTATTCCAGCTTCCTGTTTCCTGTTACGCCAGATATGAGCCATTTTACTGAAATTCTTGTAGAATCGTTCTCCTTAGCTTTAGTGAGCTCCTCTTTGCTCATATTTCTGGGCAGGAAGATTGCCAGTTTCCATAACTATAACGTCAATTCCAACCAGGTGAGAGGACAAGCCTTTCTATTACTTTCTCGGACCCTTTAATTCTGTTCTCTAACCTTAGCCTTCTGCTAAAATGAAGACTGTAACCAGAGAGTCACTTGGACCACTATTTGAGCTATAATTAAACAAAGGCTTTTGAGAAGTGTGACATCCTTAACTCTGAAGCTACCTGAATTAATATGCATGTTGTTACTCTAGAACAGATATGGGGTAGGGAGGCATATGTTGTTAAGTTGGTAGGGTTCCTCTCCTCTCCTTTTATCTTCCTTTCCACCAAGTCCTTAGAAGTCTACCACATACCAAGGCACAACAAGAAATACAGTGGAATGTCAAAACTAGGCTAATAACATAATTCAGTTGGTCTCCCAGAAATAGTCTTTGTCACTTTTTTAAAAAAGTCTCTAACCATTCTGAGTTTGGCCCATTCCCTAGAAATCAAAAAGGAAACATGGGGACTTCCCTGGCAGTTCAGTGGTTAGGACTTGGTGCTTTCACTGCTGTGGCCCAAGGTTCAATCCCTGGTCAGGGAACTAAGATCGCACAACCCCCTTGGTGTGGGCTGGTACCGAGTGGTTAGGATCCACTGAAAGCCTAGGATCCCAGGCTTTCACTCTGAGGCCCAGGTTCAATTGGTGTCCCACTTTGACTTTAGGATAGTATAAAAGGAAGCGAGAAAATAGTACTTTGTGTCTCTGTCATCCTAGTGATCATGTGAAAGAGAATAATAAGGCAAAAGTCTCATTTTCTCACTTTGGATAAGGGCTTTCCTTGTGATCTTTAGCTAAAGTGAAGAAATCAAATTTGCCATCCTTCAGTTCTTTCCAATAATCTTTCAGTGTTATTTGAAGTGATATAAACAACCTTATCTTCATATACAAGAAATAACAGTGTAACTTTAGTGCAAACTCAAGTCAGCCTTCTTCCTCGACAAATAACGGGCCTAAAGTATTTTCCATTTCTTTACAGGATTTAATAGCCATTGGCCTTTGCAATGTCGTCAGTTCATTTTTCAGATCTTACGTGTTTACTGGTGCTGTTGCCAGGACCATTATCCAGGATAAAACTGGGGGAAGACAACAGGTGTGTGCAATAGAATTTGACCTCTAATATACAGAGATAATTATTTATCTCTATTTATATTTATATACATATAATATACATATACATATCTATTTATATGTATATTCACAGAAGGGGATTATATTAGTTTAACCATATTGCTGTTTTACAGTTATGCTTGTTGGGAGGAATTTGTATTATGCTTGTTGGATCTCATGTTTGGCTTAATTTTTGCTTAGCTTTTGTCTTAAAAGCTGTCTGTCAATGAGAAATTTGAAGATAATTTTCTGTAAAAATATTACTGTTAAAGGCTTCTATATATTAGCCCACAAGAAGCTACTTTCCATGTAGTAAAGCTAAAAGATAATATTTCAGGTAAACCAACTATCACCTATTAACATCTTTTTCTGTGGGGAGATACATTCTCAGTCCTAGTCAGAGAAAGTAATAAGACAACTCTCGCCTTCCTGACAGCAGGACTAGAAACTTTTCTAACTCCTCAAAGGACATGACAGGAGACTCTAGTCTTGGTCTAGGTGAGCTTAGGGAATTTACGTTCATTCTGCCTTTGTGTAAGAGAAAATTGTCTAGGTCAGATCCTCTTCAGATATCCTGAATTAGTAAACTAAATATACGGGTGTATAGAAGGGAAGAGGAAAAGAAGAATGATAGCAAAGTTTTAAAGGGAAGCTCTCTGTCCAGTTTTCTGGCATGAGATTTTCTAAGTCCAATATTCACGTGTTTTAGACTGACCAGATAAAAGTTAAACAGTTTACAACATGAGAGGTAGCCCATCTCAGTTACGCAGCCTGAACAAGTGTCAAAGAACTATCAGACTTGAACCTGGAATAAGCCCATGGACTGAGTCAGGGTTCAGGAGGCAGAGAATCAGAAGCCACGGACAAGCTGGAGCCGCACCAGCCCAGTAGGGGGAGGAATTGCTGTGGTCAGAAAGAAAAGTGCCGGGGGCCAGTGGTTGAGACTTTGCCTTCCAGTGCAGGGGGTGTGGGATCAGTCTCTGGTTGGGAAGCTAAAATCCCACACATATCTTGGGGCCAAAAAACCAAAACATAAAGCAGAAGCAATAGTGTCACAAATTCAATAAAGACTTTAAAAATGGACCACATTTTAAAAAAATCTTTAAAAAAGTAAAGTGTCAGAAGAATGGACACAAAACTCGAATGGGGAAAGAGAAAGTGTCACAGTTTATGGGTGAAATATCAGGTGAAAGCTAATAAAAGAAGATTGGGTAGTGGTGTGAGCATGGGTCTACAGTAAGACTGTATGATTTTATGTGGACTGAGTTTTATCAGAGAGCTTCTACCAAACACACTGACCTTTTAAGGGGTAGCTCTTCTGCACTACTGTCTGATCAGAGAAGGAAGATGAGTTTTGTTAAAAAACAATGATGTTCTCTGCAAGTGAAGTCAAAATAAGAGGATTTTATGATAAGAAAAAATGGAAATAGCTTTTCCAGACATCAGTTCCCTTTAACTTGTGACCACACACTTTGTTTATTTAGTATACAAGCATAACAAATTTGGGGAGAAAAGATGCACATGGTCGGGAAAAAATCAATCACAGTGCAAGTAAAATTAAGTGCAGAATAAACACAATAAATGTTAAAGTGCCATAAATACTTCAGGAAGAACGATGGAGGAAGTGGGGCTTTTCTGGATCACCATGAGAGGTTTAGAGTATGTATAGATGGAGGGAAGGAAGATGGGCTTCAGTTCAGCTTTGGAGTTGCCTTTAGCCTGTTGGGCAAAGTGACTCTCATTCTGTTTTCTGCTGTGGCTTCGTTCTCCCCTGCCAAAGACATTTCTCTCTGTGGTACAGTGACCCTTCACAGGGAAGCCTGTCCCTCAGGATGCTGGTAAGCTCTTCCCCAAGACCCCGACTTGCCCAGGGCAAATCACCAGTTCAAGCAGAGAATGCCCCTGGTCCTTGACCCTCCACATTTGAGCTTCCCCACCTCCAATCTGAGTTTCTGATCTGGACTCACTCCACCTTCTTCATCCCCTAGCAGGGGTTCTTCTCTCTACCCTTCTCCTCTGGGGACTTTCTAATTCAGCCTGCCTGAGAACACCCTCATTTTTTCAAAGCTCCCCAGGACGGCAGGAAAGAGAAGCTTAGGGGTTGACTCTGAATCTATTTGATATGACAAGCCACCAAGAGCCACTTACGTATGTGTGTATGTATGTATGTATGTCTGACATACATAAACATGGTGTAAAATGCGTCTGGATTTCAGTTTAATTTCTCCCTGTCTAGAAACTTGTCTTCACTGGTTGCAGCAAAACCTATCAGCCCTTCAGCCCTGGCCTGAACCTTAAGTGACGGCGGGCCAGCCGAACTGTCCTCCGTCTTCTCGCTGATCCAGTTCTGACCCTGTGCTCCCCTCTGCTCTGTGATTGTGTTCCTTTCCTTGTTCCCTGCTTTCCAAGGATGAGCCTTCTTGCCTTGTCCCCAGGCTCCCAGAACTGCTTTACCCTAGTCCTTCTTTTTTTTAAGTTGGAGCTTTACAATGTTGTGTTAGCTTCTGCTGTAGTGTCATGAATCTGTTTTATGTATACACGTAACCCCTCCCTCTTGGATCATCCCCAACCCCCTTCCCAACCCCAGGTCATCACAAAGCACCGAGCCAAGCTCCCCGTGCTACAGAACAGGCTCCACTAACTATTTTACACCCAGTATGTATATATCACACGTCAGCCCTACTCTCCCAATTCGCCCCACCCTCCTCTTCCAGGTCTGTGTCCACGTACATGTCCATTCTGTCTGTGTCTTTATTCCTGCCCTGCAAATAGGCTCATCTATACCATTTTTCTAGATTCCACATTTATGCATTTGTTTTTCTCCTTCTGACTTCCTTCACTCCCAGAACTGCTTTTAAAAATGAGTTATTATTTTTAAAAAAGAAAAGAAATAAATCATCACAAAAGGAAATGAGTTGCATTCTCTTTAGGGAAAGCAGATGGGGTAGTGGAGAGAGCCTGGATTTTGGAGTCAGTTGGTCAGGTGGATTGAAACCTGACTCTGTAGTTCCTAGATGTGTGACCTTGGGAAGTTACTTTCACTTCCTGGGGCTCTAGTCCTCATCTGTAAGATGGGGATAAGGATAACCTTTCAGTTGTGAGAATTAAACTGGATGACAACAGAGCTTCTGCCCCAGGTCCCTAGTGTGCTGATCGGTGTATGGTAATGTTCTGTCCACTGCTTGTGGAGCAGTTGTTGTCTGAGGCTCTTCATGTCACTAGTGGCTGTGCTTTATGAGAACTTGCATTGCTTTGAGTCCCCGGGAAGAAGGTAGGGTCAGTCTTGGTTCAAGAAAGCCTGAAAAACTGATGGAAAATCAAAGCGGAATAGCAAAACATGCATGAGATGTCAAGTTGTATTAATATATGCTTGCTGCCTCTAGGCCCCGTTCATGCACTGAGTCTGGGATTCTGAGAATCACCATGCATCCTCCTAAGGCACAACGCCACCAAGGATGGCCCTCTGATCCCAAAGCCCACTCCTCTGCGTGTGCAGCCATGAAAGTGAAAGAAAGTGAAAGTGAAAGTCACTCAGTCATGTCTGGTGTTTGCGACCCCATAGACTATGCAGCCCATGGAATTCTCCAGGCCAGAATACTGGAGTGGGTAGCCTTTCCCTTCTCCAGAGGATCTTCCCAACCCAGGATTGAACCCAGGTCTCCTGCATTGCAGGCGGATTCTTTACCAGCTGAGCTAGCAGGGAAGCAGCCATGGGGGTCAGACAATTATTGGCGGGCCTCCCTGAGCAGCCAGATTTATGGGATTTCAGTGTTTGGTTTATCATCATTTTAAACTATGTTTTATACAGCTAATTTTGGTGTCTGTATGTCTTTGTTCCCTTAAAAATAATCCAAAAAACTTTGGAGGAAAGGAGTAGTAGGAAGGAGAAATCCTGGTATGTTTTCCTGTGCTAAGCAAAGCCGTTTCTTCTGTAGCGTGAGACCGCCTGAAGCTCGACCCTAAAATTCAATGTGGCAACAGGCCGAGTTGTACACTGGCTTCAGGAGCTTATGGCTTCAGTTACCTTTTTCAGTTCCACAGTGTATAAAATGTTTGCCATGAGAGCTTCCTGAGTTTCAGTTACAGTGATCCATTTTCCTGAATCCTTCTGCCTACATTCTTCTCTCAGGGTTCAACTTTTCCACCTTGGGTTGGTCCCATAGCTGTGTATCAGTCGGGGTGGGGGAAAAAGGAAGCAGGACATTGATTTCATTGCAGTTATTTTCAGTGACACGTTTCTATGGCAAATAGCAGTGAGCAGTGAGAGAGAACCCAGTAGGAAGTCTTTTTCACACCTGATGAAAAAGAGAAAAAAGATTAGACAGTCATTGCTGCATGGTCATTTAATGGTTTAGATTTAAAGTTGCTTGTTTGTGCTAGTATATGCTATTGTTTTGATTTGTGGCTGCAGTTTTATCCACCCCCCCCCCCCATCACCATGGGAAATTACACTGCTTTGTATTATTTTTTCTGTTTAAGTAGGGACTTATCCAATGGAAATTTATCAACAAAGGATACAATGAGTTCAAGATTATGTCCAGAGAGCCTTAAGATTATAAAGAGAAGTATGTTTTTTAGCTTTCTACCTGTATTTGACAATCTGAATCACTGCTACCCCCCCATCACCATGGGAAATTACACTGCTTTGTATTATTTTTTCTGTTTAAGTAGGGACTTATCCAATGGAAATTTATCAACAAAGGATATAATGAGTTCAAGATTATGTCCAGAGAGCCTTAAGATTATAAAGAGAAGTATGTTTTTTAGCTTTCTACCTGTATTTGACAATCTGAATCACTGCTTTCCAAGTAGTATGAACCCAGAGGAGTCAATCCAGCTGGAACAGGATCCAGAGCTGCTGTCAACAGCCCTGACTCATGTTCGTTACCTTTCTTCTTTTTTTTTTTTTAATAGTATCGAGGCAGAGAGAAACAAAAGTAGAAAAATCAGAAGTGAATATCATGGTATTAAGATGAAGCACCACTGAAGCTGTTAGATGGGAAGCTATGCAAACCCCAAAAGAGTGAGGTGGAACAGTTGGGATTTTAGGGCTGGCAGTGATGGGTCTACCCGGGATTTTCAAAACTACTCAAGGAAGGTTAAAGTCCGGAGGAAATGAAGGCCGGATTTTAGGAGACTTCAGATTCACAGCACAAAGCTATGGCAAGAAAGATTCGTATATCCAAGGCCATCTGGAACTTTTCAGGAAACCTTCATACATTCAGTCAATAAGTATTTATTGAGTAACTGGTATGTGTTGAGCATTTTGATAAGAGCTAACAATGTCGGTTCACCGAAAGCGCACTTATGTTAGATGGTTATACATACTCAGCCCCTTCTAAGGAAAAAAAACAGAAACAAAAATGACACGCTTGTCACCAAGCAGAAGGCCTCAGATGCAGACGGGGGCCAGTACATTCCTGATGCTCTCTCCCCAACTGGCTCTGTCTCCTCAGTTTGCATCTCTGGTAGGCGCAGGCATCATGCTGCTCCTGATGATGAAGATGGCACGCTTTTTCTACAAACTGCCAAACGTAAGTAGACCTGATCGGATGCCTGAGTCAGATCACATCTTGGTGGGGGCCTCTCTGAGGGGAACTGCATTCTGCTCATTTCCAGTGGTTGCCCCAGGCTATTTCTGGCTCCTTTCCTTTAGAATAACTGCCTCTACCAAAAGAATCCACCTGCAATGCGGGAGACCTGGGTTTGATCTGTGGGTTAGGAAGATCCCTGGGGGAGGGCATGGCAACCCACTCCAGTATTCTTTTATTTATTATTTTTTAATTGAAGGATAATTGCTTTACAGAATTTTGTTATTTTCTGTCAAACCTCGACACTCCAGTATTCTTCCCTGGAGAATCCCCATGGACAGGATCACAAAGAGTTGGACACAACTGAGTGACTCAGCACCCCACAGGACTAGGAGTTAAACACGATAATATGTATAATGTAGAGAGAACAGTTTTGAGCTAATAATAAGCGCTCAAGAAACAATTGTGATTCTTCTCATCCTCATTAATCTTTTTAAAAAAATTCCTTTAGCTATAAAGTAAGCTTTTAGAAGTAAGGATTCAGTTAAATATGACCAAAATAGACTTCAGATGCCAGAACGCCCATTACCAACACAGGCTTGGAAACTCATTGTGCATTCATGCCATCTGTTTTCCTAAACAGTTTCCATAAGTCCTTGTTCTGCATTCATGTGAACTCAATCCCCCTACCGCTGCCACCCTGTCTTTTGGTCGGTTCACAACACTGAAAGTTGAGTTTTAATTCTGTATTCAGCTAGAATGCCTCTATGTACTTACATGCCATTTCTTCCCTTTGTGTGAAATGAGTGATGACTTTACATTTAGATATGCCAGTTGCATTAATTACTGACTATAATCAATTTGTTCTAAGTTACNCCTACCGCTGCCACCCTGTCTTTTGGTCGGTTCACAACACTGAAAGTTGAGTTTTAATTCTGTATTCAGCTAGAATGCCTCTATGTACTTACATGTCATTTCTTCCCTTTGTGTGAAATGAGTGATGACTTTACATTTAGATATGCCAGTTGCATTAATTACTGACTATAATCAATTTGTTCTAAGTTACAGTATAGGTCAATGCCCAGTGTCCGTGATTTCTTTTTAAATTTCCTCCGTGTTCCCTTTAGTCATTTTTAGATAGTACTGGGGAGGTGGGGCTTCCCTGGTGGCTCAATGTTAAAGAATCTGCCTGCAGTGCAGGAGACCTGGGTTCAATCCCTGGCTTGGGAAGATCCCCTGAAGGAAGGGCATAGCAACCCACTCCAGTACTCTTGCCTGGAGAATCACATGGACAGAGGAACCTGGCGGGCTGCAGTCCATAGGGTCGCACAGCATTGGACATGACTGAAGCGACTAAGCAGAGCAGCAGGGGAGGAGATTTTATTCCTGGTGCGGCAGCTTGCTTACCCACTGATGTAGCAGCCCCTAAGCTGGAGTAGTTGTAAGTATTATACCCATCCTTTTGAACATGTTTGGGACTTCCCTGGTGGTTCAGTGGTGAAGAATTCACCTGCCAAGCAGGAGGCGCAGGTTCAATCCCTGGGTCAGGAAGATGCCCTGGAGAAGGAAATGACAACCCACTCCAGTCCAGTATTCTTGCCTGAGAAATCCCATGGACAGAGGAGCCTGGCAAGTTACAGTCCATGGGGTTACAAAAGAGTCGGACACGACTTAGCAACTAAACAATAATTCCACCTGGTGAATATCACGTTTCAGTAGAACAGGACCATCTTAAGGCTGTTGCTGCCTTTGGTTCTTGTGATTCAGGGATCTTGGAAACCAGCCATGGAATATATGCATGGTGGGTGGGATTAAGCTTGTGTTTATCACACAAGCTGTCCTCTGATTCCTAGCAGAAGTCATCTCCAGAATGAGGCTTATGTAGCATCTTTGGAGCTATAACTCTTGGGAGTCTATTTTTGGTGGGCCACTCACTAATTTACTTTGGACAGTGATATTTTTCCTTTATAGCCTGAAGAATCAGAATTTTTAAAAAAAAATCTCAAATAAAAATCTGTCCGAATTCACTGCAGGGTAGTGATAAAAGTGAGGCTTCCCAGATGGTTCAGTGGTAAAGAGTCTTCCTGCCAAGGCAGNCTATAACTCTTGGGAGTCTATTTTTGGTGGGCCACTCACTAATTTACTTTGGACAGTGATATTTTTCCTTTATAGCCTGAAGAATCAGAATTTTTAAAAAAAAATCTCAAATAAAAATCTGTCCGAATTCACTGCAGGGTAGTGATAAAAGTGAGGCTTCCCAGATGGTTCAGTGGTAAAGAGTCCTCCTGCCAAGGCAGGAGATGCAGGAGACATGGGATCGATCCCTGGGTTGGGAGGATCCCCTGGAGAAGGAGATTGCAACCCACTCTGGTATTCTTGCCTCGAAAATCCCATGGACAGAGGTGGGTTACAGTCCGCCTTACAGAGGTGGGTTACAGTGGGGTTCCAAAGAGTCACACATGACCAAGCACACAGGCATGCATGCACAGTGATAAAAGCAGGTAAGCCCTTCCTTACTATAAATATGTTGGGGATAGAACAGCCCTTGCTTTTGGCCAACCATGTTCTGGCACGTTATTTTTACATCATCTAGTTAGGATGTTGCTGGGTGAGAAAATGCAAACACAATCTGATCAGTGGAATAACTGAATTTCTATAACCATGGCTCTCTGTGAGGATTAAACCATGAATGGCTCCTTCCTGTCTTTATTGGAGTATAATTGCTTTACAATGTTCTGTTGGTTTCTGCAGCACAACATCGTGAATCAGCCATATGTATACATTTGTGCTCTCCCTGTTGAGCTTCCCCTCCCATTCCACCCCTCTAGGAAGCACCCATCCTTCCTTCTTTGAAGGACTGTGGGTAGTTTGTTGCAAAATTCTTGGGAGAGTAATTGGTAGAGCATCCTGGCAAGGATCTCAACTAGTGAGCAAGGAACCCAATATACATTTTTTAAATGTAATACAAACAGTGTATTCAATATTGTTCCAGTTTTGTGTGGAAAAAAAATACATAGGCTACACCAAAATGTTATCTCTTGTATGATGGAAAATATATACAAATTCAGTTCTTCTTTGCACATGAGCATGTTTTATCTTCATATTCAGAAAGGTAAAAATTTTTATTGTATATTTCATGAAAAAGATTTGTTTCCCTGTCATGCTTTGTGTGTGTGCTCAGTCATTCAGTCCTGTCCAACTCTTTGTGACCCCACGAATTGTAGCCGCCAGACTCCTCTGTCCATGGAATTCCCCAGGCAAGAATACCCCAGCCCTTTCCTCCTCCAGAGAATCTTCCTGACCCCAGTATCAAACTCATGTCTCCAGTGTCTCCTGCATTGGCAGGTGGATTCTTTACCACTGAGATACTTCGGGAGCCCTCATACTTCATATCTCAAGTCAAAAGTCTTGTAAAAGTTGAAGCTGAATTTCTTCTTTCCTACCACATCTCCCTAGTGATTGCAGAAATTTGGGGAGATTCTTGACTGGTAAGAAGATTAAGCTGGAAAACAAGTAATTTCTGCTGACTTCATTTTTGTTCCTCCCCTCTCCACTGACTTGCTGCATCCAACTGGTTACTGAGTAACCTCAGAAAATCAGAGTAAACCTGGATCCAAGCCACTTCCGAGAGTGGGATCAGTTCTAATTGGCTAGATGGCTAGGAAAAGGATGAGAAATGTTTCTTAAAGTATGTTAGATTCTACTTTGAGGCCCTGATGATTTTATACCCCTATGAATATTGATCTTCATTTTCTTATATTTAAGACACTATCTCTCCATTACAAAAGGAGACATGTTTGCTTCTTAAACTTTGGGAAATTCATAATAGATAAAAATCTATTTTTTAGATAGATTGGTCACACACTGAGGTGGCAGTCCCTGAAGCCACAATCACAAATAAACCACTATTAACATTTTGGCATATACCTAACCAATATTGTTCTCTATAAACAGATAGTATTTACTTGGTATGCTGTTGTTGTTTAGTCACTAAATCGTGTCTGACTCTTTGCAACCCATGAACTGGGCTCCTGCCAGGCTCCTCTGTCCATGAGATTTCCCAGACAAGAATATTGGAGTGAGTTGCCATTTCCTTCTCCAGGGGATCTTCCCAACCACAAGGATTGAACAGACGTATCCTGCATTGGCAGGCAGATTCTTTACCACTGAGCCACCAGGGAAACAGTCTTTACTTTGTGTAATTGTGATCTAACTGTACTCACAATCTGGTATTCTTGTTAATTTCATATATAATGTGATACTCTTACTATCACTTATTAATCATTTTAAATTAGGTTATCTGAGGTTTTTTTATTATAAATAACACAACAATGAGCAATTTTGTACATCTGCCCTTTTCTATATTTAGGATAGATTTCTAAAGGAAAACAAAAGTTCTGTATGAAAGCTTATCTATCAGTATTTCTTGCTCAGTTGCTTCAGTCATGTCCAAGTCTTTGCGACTCTATGAACTGTAGCCTGCCAGCCTACTCTGTCCATGGGCTTCTCCAGGCATAAATACTGGAGTGGGTTGCCATGCCCTTCTCCAGGGGATCTTCCCGACCCAGGGATCAAATCTGCACATTTTAAGTCTCCTGCATTGACAGGCGGGTTCTTTACCACTAAGGCCCCCATGGGAAGCCCTAGTATTTCTTAATATATTGCCAAATTATTTTTCACAAGGGCAATACCCATTTTTAATGGAATGTCCTCAATGTTTTAAATTTGCTAATTTAATGCGATGGACCAAAACAGTGGTATCTCACTGTTGAAATAATCGTAGTACATCATGATTAGGCTTGGGATAAAAAAAACATACCAAATTGAAACTATTTCAGAATTTCTGTGAGTGGACATTCTCCTAATTTGTCATCCCATCTGAGAGTGGTTTCTAAGCAATATCAGTCACATAGGTTATGTCACGCAAACTAGACAAAGCAAGGTCCAATAGGCACAGAATAGGACAAGTGGCCAGAGGTGCCAGCCGGCCTCCCTCTGGGTCTTTTACACCAGAAGTCACAACATGGCAACAGAAGGGGCGAGAGGATCTTAACTTGTGGCTAGTCTTCCTCTCACTGTCTGTGTAAGTAACCAGTGACCTGAATCTAAAAGGGGCATGTGGGGACTTCCCTTGTGGTCCAGTGGTTAAAACTTCGCCTTCCAATCCAGCGGGGTATGAGTTCAATCCCTGGTCAGGGAGCTAAGATTCCACATGTCTTGCAGCCATAAAAAACCAAAGCATAAAACAGAAGCAATATTGTAACAAATTCAATAAAAATGGTCCACATTCAAAAACTCTAAAATAAAAGGGGCTTTTGAGAGCTGTCACTGGCCAAGTGAGTCACATGGCCTTGCTGTATCTTGTGTGTCTGATAAATGATAAAGGTGAGCAGAGACAAACGTGGGGAATAGTTATTTAATGGGACAGTGAGTTGCAGCACAGACCTGGTATTGGTATGAAATATTAGTGCAGAATACCTCTGTGTGGCAAGGCTGACCAAGCCTCTGTGGTTCCTTTGTGGAAATTTGGAAGCTTTACCCAAGAAGGGAAAATGAAGCAGGGTTTATTTTTTCCCCACAGGCTGTAGTGGCTGGTATTATCCTGAGTAACGTCCTGCCCTACCTTGAAGTTGTTTACACCCTACCCAGTCTGTGGAAGCAGAACCAGTATGACTGTGTGAGTGTAGATGTGCTGGGGAGGTTGGGAAGGATGGAAGGGAAGCCTGCAGAGAGAGGAAGAGAACAAGCGAAAGTGACCAATGTGAACCCACCATCTGATGCGTCTCTGCTGTTGCTCAAAAAACAGGAGTCAAGGTTATTGGGTGCACAGAAATACTGAGACCCCATTCCAACTATATGAAGTTCGATAAAACAGAAGTAATTAAGCAGCTGCAGTTGCACACAGATCTAGTAAAAAGGGTTCAGCATACATGGAATATTTGAATGACTTTTAATCTGGTTAATAGAACTACACTCCAGGAGACGGGAAACAAATCCTAACAAGAGAAGAGGGCGTCTTGCCAGGAAGGGTAACTGATGGAGTGCTCCCCTTTTCTCTAGAGAAGAAAACTGGAGGACATATAGGGGAAATCGCAAGAAATGAAAGATAGGGGATGGTGATGCAATGAGAGGAGAGGGACCCAGAAGAGGAAAGAGATCATTTTTGGATCCAAGTCCCTGAGAAGTTAAGAGGGGAATGTGGTCCAGTATACAGTTAGAGCTTCTAGTCTTTGGAGTGGAGACAGCACTTCCAACAGCCCTGGAGAGAATAAGGGAAGGTTGAGTGCAGATACTAACAAACAGTAAACGGTAAAACTAACAAAGAGCAAACAGGAGTAAACAATTAAGGGATTTTCAACCCATCTTCTTTTTTAAAAAAAAATTTTTTTTATTGGGGTATAGTTGATTCACAATGCTGTGCTAGTTTTAGGTGTACAGCGAAGTGAATCAATTATACATAAACATATATCCACTCCTTTAAAAAAAATTCTTTCCCCATATCCACAGTAGCATATAAATGTCAGTCCCAACCTTCCAATTTATCCCTCCCCCTCAGCCTATCTTCTTTATGAAAATGAAAGTCAAATCACCTGCTGAGAGGTGGAGTAGGTGGTGGGACAGGGGGCTTGAAAGGGATGTTAAAGATTCCTAATGACTATCATGGGTCTTAAAATAGCAACCAGTAATTTGGTCAGTGTTCTGGGTTGCTTTCCAAACAGTATTTCTAATCTCAATAAATTCTATAAAGCGGATATTATTGCCCCAATTTTTCACAAGTGGAAACTGACATTTTAAGAGAAAATTAAAGAGAGATGTGACCAAGAATGCATAAAAGAATTGTGAGGCAGCCCTAGGGCCCAATCATTTGTGACAGTATCAGTCCATGTGGCTGTGGAATTTGTTCTCTAAATCCTAGGTGTTAGGAGAGAAAGGATAAAGGTGAATTGAGGAAGAGGACTTGTGATTATCTCAATTCTGCTTGTTGTCACGGTCTCCCTTTCTCATCCTTCCTCTTTTCCATAAGCTCATTTGGATGGTGACATTCTTGTCTGCAGTTTTACTGGGACTGGACATTGGACTAGTTGTTGCAATAGCTTTTGCCTTCTTCATCATCACTGTTCAGTCACACAGGTATTTTGTCTGGGGTAATAGGAGGTGGGCCATGTCAAGGTGAAGCAACTGTGACATAAAGGCAAATGCATTTCCTTACAGAACTAAGATTCTCCTCCTGGGTCAGATCCCTAACACCAATATTTATAGAAGCTTCCAAGACTATCGGGAGGTAAGAATCCAAATGAGTCCCACTCCTTTGCCCAAAGGATGGGATGGACCACGCCTGCTGCTTAGTTTTTCTACAAAAAAAAAAAAAACCTAAACTCCTTTGTTCCTCTCTGCTGCACTGCAGATATGCATTTACAAAGGCGGGGAAAGTGATGCAGCCAGTTAAGGATAAATTTAAATGTACTTCAGAGGGAGGAGGGCCAAGAAAAAGAGAGGTGTGAAGAAATAAGAGGGGAAAAGAAGAAAGCAGGGGTGAAAACCAGAGGGAGGAATTTGTTAGTTCTTGATGCTTATAAAGAGCACAGATTCTCCAGGATGTTCTAAGGATTTTTTTTTTCCTTACTCCATAAAAGAGCTGAAAAATTGCCCTGAAGTGTACATTTATTTGTCTTGCAGGTTACAAACATTCCAGGGGTGAAGATCTTCCAGTGCTGCAATGCCATCACATTTGTCAACGTTCACTACCTGAAGCGCAAGGTGTTAGAGGAGGTGAGGGCTGTCCTCTGCTTCTCTGCCACCTGCTTCCCTCTCGGTCCCAGAGTGTTCTCCCCTCCCCCACTCACCACTTGAATTAGACCCAGCATATGTCTTTCAGATTGAAATGGTAAAGGTGCCTCTTACAGAAGAAGAAATTTATACCCTGTTCAGTCAAAATGAAGAGGGCGCACAGCGAAGAAGGATTTGTCGGTGTTACTGCAACTGTGATGATCCAGAGCCATCACCCAGGGTTAGAGACACCTCGTCTTTTCTCCTACATTTTATAAAGAGAAGGACTAGTAGAGTGTTTTTTAAATTATTTATTTGTTTGTTTATTTGTATCATTGCGCTGGGTCTTCGTTGCTATGAGCAGACTCTCTCTAGTTGCAGCAAGCGGCTACTCTAGCGCACAGGCTTCTCGTTGCAGTGATGTCTTTTGTTGCGGAACACTGACTCCAGTGTTCTTGCCTGGAGAATCCCACGGACAGAGGAGCCTGGCGGGCTACAGTCCATGGGATCGCAAGTGTTGGACACGACTTAGCAGCTAAACCACCAACCACCACAGACTTTAGGGTACACGGGCTTCAGCAGATGTGGCGCATGGGCTTAGCTGCCCTGCGGCAGGTGGGATCTTCCCGGACCAGTGATCGGACCAGTGATCGAACCAGTGGCCCCTGCATTGGCAGGCAGATTCTTATCCACTGTACCACCAGGGAAGCCCAACACTAATAGTTTTCTAAAAAAAGAAAGAAAAAGAAAATCTAAACCCCTTCAGGGATTTTGACTCATAGAAGAACCATGAATAATCAGAAATTTCCGTTTCTACTCAGAAATGGAGACAGAGGTTCCCTTTCAGGTCAGATCTTACCCTGAGAGTAGGAGGCGGGAGGAGATGTCTCAAGTTCTGACTTCCTTCTCAACCAAGGAGCAGTGACTTATCTGAGCTCAGAGCACAGTCTGCTTGTTGAGATTGTCAGTAGCTCCCTGGTTGTCCCTGTTTTCCTTGACTTTAATCTTAGCTCCTGGCTGTAGATTTCTGAGAACGAGTGATTGAAAGATTGTTTCCTAATTTGCAGCAGGGGCAGGGGCAGGGTCAAGCTGGCTGGAGTTCCCAAGGGTCTGTCAGGGTCTCCTGATATTAGTTTGTGACCAGGGAAATGATGATGTGGTAGGGAGGGCGGAGAAGAAGACGTGCTTCAGAAGATTATTCTAGCAGCTGAGTTAAAGCGCTCATTCATTTCCAACTCAGAGTTGGTCTAAATATTCCCTTTCCCCAGAGCAGGCTGTTCATTTCCATCTTTGAGGACTTCATGTGTACCTACGCCCTGGAGCGGCAGTATCTACACACACACATGCACGCACACACATTTCCCATCCACCTCCGCACATGAAGTGAAGTGAAGTCGCTCAGTCGTGTCTGACTCTTTGCGACCCCGGGGACTGTAGCCCGCCAGGCTCCTCTGTCCATGGGATTCTCCAGGCAAGAATACTGGAGTGGGTTGCCATTTCCTTCTCCAGGGGATCTTCCCGACCCAGGGATCGAACCCAGGTCTCCTGCATTGCAGGTAGACGCTTTAACCTCTGAGCCACCAGGGAAGCCCTCCTCACATGGGCACCAAAAAATACAGAGCATGCACTTGTGTGTGTGTGACGCAGCATGGACTATAGCCCATCAGGCTCCTCTGTCCATTGGATTTTCTAGGCAAAAATACTGGAGTGGGTTGCCATTTCCTTCTCCAGGGGATCTTCCCATTCCGGAAATTGAACCCACATCTCCTGCATCTCCTGCATTGGCAGGTGGATACTGAGCCACCCGGGGAAGCCCATTTGCATTCCCATACAGCTGAATGGAGCATACTTCTCCTGAGCTCCTGGAAAATACCAACTTCCCTGCCAAGAGGACTAACTCTACTAGTAGAATTAACACTGTCTCTGATTTTTATTTTGCATCCACATTGCACTGATTATGGTAGAGAGTGTTTATAGGGCATCAGAGAATATATTTTAGAGTAGGATACAGTCATCTAGTATTTGTTGGGCTTATACAAGGTACCCAGAACTATGATACTATGAAAAAGAAAACCAAATGCTTAGGGGCCTCTGCCTCTAGGTCTTTCTTTTTAATTGTGGTATAAAGCAGATAACGTAAAATCTAGCATCTGAACCATTTTTCAGTGTAGTGTTCAGTAGTGTTAAATACATTCACATTGTTGTGCAATCATTACCACCATATATCTCCAGAGCTTTTTCATCTTGAAAAACTGGAACTCTGACCCATTCTGCAACTTGGCATTTCCTCTTCTTTCCAGCCCCTGGCAACCACCATTAGACTTTCTGCTTCTGTGAATTTGACTATTCCAGATACCTCATATAAGTGGAATCATACAATATTTGTCTTTTTGCAACTGGCTTATTTTATTTAGCATAATGTCCTCAAGGTTCATTTGGGTTGTTCTTTATTTTAGAAGTTTTTCATGGAAAAATCTGAACATATACAAAAGTAGAAACAAGTATAATGAGCCTCTATGTACCCACCAACCACTTTAAGATTTATTACCTCATATTCAATCATTTCATCAATACCCCTACTCACCTATAACCCATCAAAATCACAGGATTATTTTGAAGCAATTCATGGAATTTTAAGTCAACTGAGGGCATTCCCTGGCAGTCCAGTGGTTAGGACTCTGTGCTTTCACTGCTGCGGGCCCAGGTTCAATCCCTGATCAGGGATCTAAGATTCCACAAGCTGTGCTGTATGGACAAAAAAAGAAACAAACAAACTGGAGAGACAACACTCTATTAATGTGACATTTAAGGTTATTATTGTATTTTATCCATCCAAAAATATACATTATTTCCCATCTCTGAAATTTAGATACATTATATAATCAATGGCAATATTATAGTTTAATTTGCAGTGCTTTATTTCTTTTTTTTTTTAATTTTTTAAAAAATTTATTTAGCTGTGCTGGGTCTTAGTTGTAGGACGCAAACTTTTGAGTTGCAGGATGTGGGATCTAGCTCCCTGACCAGGGATTGAACTCAGAGTCCTTGCTTTGGGAACCCGGAGTCTTGGCCACTGGACCACCAGGAAAGTCCCTTATTTCTTTCTTGATAGCACAAAAAGTAGTGGTGATGAAAATAGTATGGTGAAGCATACCATGCAGCATATTGCTATGTTCTAAATTGTGTATTTATAACAACTCTGACTTCAGGTAAAGAAAGATGGGCATGAACTCAAAAAGACAGGGAAACATCTCGGTAGTAATGGACTTAAGACGGGCAGGAGAGAGAAAATTGGATTTACGCCCGGTAGGGAAAAAGAGGACTCCCAGTCCATGAATAGGCTTGGGCAGCGAGACAGAGGTAAAAGTGAGCGTGGGGTTGTCAGAGTAAGGGCTTCCCCAGAGGCTCAGCAGTAAAGAATCCTCCTGAAATGCAGGAGACATGGGTTTGATCCCTGGGTTGGGAAGATGCCCGAACACTCCAGTGTTTGTCTTTTTTTTGGCCGGAAAAATCCCATGGACAAAGCCACCTGGCAGGCTACAATCCAAAGGATCGCAAAGAGTCAGACATGACTGGTCACAAACACATCAGAGTAAGAGGCTTGGCCTGGGCAGTAAGTTCAGGCAGACCCAGAGGGAGTGGATTGTGAAAGCTCCTGAAAGAGTGTAGAGCAGATGGAGAGAAGTGGGGAGGCTCTCAGAGGTTTATTTTTTTAGTATTTATTTTTATGTATTTATTTGGCTGCACTGGGCCTTCATTGCAGCACGCGAACTCTTAGTTGCAGCATGTGGGATCTAGTTCCCTAACCAAGGATAGAACCCACGGCCCCTGAATTGGGAGAGTGGAGTCTTAGCCACTGGACCACCCAGTAAGTCCCTCAGAGGTTTATTCTGCCTGGAGAACCTTGAATCTCCCCACCATTGAACCCCACCGTCAGCTGGACAAACCCCAAAGGCCTGGCCTCAGTGACTGTCAAGACTTGGGTAACATCTGTCTTCTTTGAACTGTAATATTATCACTTGTCCACTCCATTTTTAGCAATATAATATATACTATCATGTATAGTTATCTTTACATTTTCCCCTATTTTTAAAGTTTATTTTACAAGCAACTTTATTAGAACAGATTTTTCTTGAAGAAACATCATCCCAAAGTATACTTCTATAGCAAACAGATTCTCCATTTTCCCACATGCCTTCCAGTTCTTGTCCATTTAGATTGCTATTTTTGCTCAGTCGCCAAGTTGTGTCCAGCTCTTCGAGACCCCATGGACCGCAGCACACCAGGCTTCCATGTTCCTCACCATCTCCCAGAGTTTGCCCAAGTTCATGTCCATTGCATTAGTGATGCCATCCAACCATCCCATCTTCTGTTGCCCGCTTTTCCTTCTGCCTTCAATCTTTCCAAGCATCAGGGTTTTTTTTTTTCAATGAGTCAGCTGTTTGCATCAGGTGGGCCAAAGTATTGGAGCTTCAGCTTCAGCATCAATCCTTCCAAAGAGTATTCAGGGTTGATTTCCTTTAAGATTTCCTTTATAGGTTTTTACTCATCCTTTAAATGGACATGTGCCCTCTCCCCAGGTAGAATCTGCCTGCCATGACTGCAGAATCAACATTCACATCTTTCTTGCCATTGTATTCCTGAGGCTTGGTTCTGTCCTTAAACAATGCCAAGCACCCCAGGCCCATTAGGAGGGTAAGAGGAGTGGAAGGTAAATACAGCCATGCTCTAGGAACTTCTGTCTTCTTGAGGAAGTTTGATAGACAACAGTTTCACTGTTGAGAAAGGAGGGTTGACAAAAGGGACTGATGGAAGAAATACTGGCTTGGCCAAAAAGTTTGTTCAACTTTTCCACAAGCAGTTATAATCCAATACTTCAAAGTTATAGTAGGTGCTAGAGACTAATTAGAACCCAGGGATGAGGGAAAAGAATAAATCAAAGATGATTTTGAGTCTGGCTCACTAGGACAATGATAATGTCACTGATGCATGTGGGGGAAGTTGGTAGCGGGGAGGGGGATGCTGTGAGTGGTGAGGATCAGGGAAGATGAATGTGACTTTACATACATTGTTGCTGTTTAGTAGCTAAGTTGTGTCCAAATCTTATGACCCCACAGATTGTAGCCCATCAGGCTCCTCTGTCCATGGGATTTCCCCGGCAAGCATACCGGAGTGGGTAGCCATTCCCTTCTTCAGGGGATCTTCCCAAGCCAGGGATCGAACTTGCGTCTCCTGCTTGGCAGGCAGATTCGTTACCACGGAGCCACCAGGAAAGCCCATGCATAAACAGATGGCTAGTGGGAAGCTGCTCAATAGCACAGGGAGCTCAACACTGTGCTCTGTGACAGCCTAGAGGGATGGGGGTGGGGGGAGATTCAAGAGAGAGGGGATGGGGATACTTGTGGCTGATTCACGTTGTTGTATGGCAGAAGCCAATATAATATTGTAAAGCAATTATCCTCCCATTAAAAAAAAGATCAATATGGTTTTAGTCACAAGCTAGAAGTGACAATGAAATATCTAAGGAGAAAGGTATAGTGCGTGGTCTATGAAGTTTTCCAAGAGCAAGGGAAGTGACTTAGTAGACAGAAACAGCATAGTTGCAAATACTTCCAGCCTTATTGGAGTCTTATCATAGTCCTCCCCTAACTCTGTTGTCCCAGGTTATTTACACAGAACGATATGAAGTTCAACGGGGCCGAGACTCCTCCTTCATTAACCTGATCCGCTGCTCACGTTTCGAGAGCATGGACACAGCCCAAACTATGTCTGAAGACCAAGTACCGTACATAACATCTTCCACATCTCAGAGAAACCCAAACTATGAGGAGGTGGAGAAAGTTTGGCTTTCTGATGACCCTTCCAGGAGCATGACAATCACACTCCCTGAGGCTTCTGATACTCAGGTCAGAGCTACAAAACTGCCTTACTCGAGTTCAACTATTCTACCCAGTGTCCATACCATCATCTTGGACTTCTCCCTGGTACATCTTGTGGACGCACAGGCTTTGGTCGTATTAAGACAGGTAAGTACTGAGGAGGTGTTCACAAGAGCTCTGATCCCTGACTGGATCCTGTTAGTCACTGATCAGCTGCTCTGTGACTCCTAGGCCACTAGAAACTTGCATACCAAAGACAGTTTAAGGTCAACCAGAATAAAAAGAAAATGAAGCAACTCTGATTTACTAAACCAAGGGTTGGTTCCCTAAGCATGGCATGTTGTTCCTCAAGGACTAAAAATCAGAAAATTCTTAACACCATTGAAACAATGATCTGTGTCACGCCCAGCAACTCACATCCTGGGAGTTAAGCTACAAAAAATTTCAAGGAATAGGTTCATAGGCTATAGAAAAATGTTCACACAGAATTCTCTACTATTAAGCTGCTCTAAAAGGCACTCAGGAGGTTTGAAGAAGTTGTGATGAAGTGACACATCAAGTGTGAGGTTGCCCAGTCCAGTACCCCAGTCCAGACCCATAAGGCTCTTCCCCAGTTCCCTCTTCATTGCCTCTTTGGGTGAAAAAGGCAGGAAAGATTTTTCCTTCAAAAGCAGTGTTCCCTGAGTCCTGATTTCTCTCCCACCTTCTAGTTTCTCAGACAGTTTTCGTTTCTCTCCTTTTTGTACAAATATGGACAGTTCAGGTGTGCAACCAACCATACTGTTTTTATTGTTTAATGTCTCATAAGCACAAAATGGGCTTTCCTGGTGGCTCAGATGGTAAAGAATCCGCCTGCAATGCAGGAGACCTGGGTTTGATCCCTGGGTTGGGAAGATCCCCTGGAGGAGGGCATGGCAACCCACTCTAGTGTTCTTGCCTGGAGAATCTCCATGGATGGAGGAGCCTGGCGGGCTACAGTCCGTGGGGTCACAAAGAGTTGGACACCACTAAACAACTAAGCACAGCACACAGCAAGCACAAAATAGTGCTTGTGGGAAGCTGCTAACGGGAACCTGCCGATAAAGCACGGGGCCTCAGCTCGGCGCTCTGTGATGGCCCAGAGGGGTGGGATGCAAGGAGAGTAGAAGGGAAGTTCAGGAGAGGGGGGATGTATTATAGCTGATTCACTTCATTATACAGCAGAAACTAATGCTACATCGTAAAGCAATCATATTCCAATTTAAAATCACATAACTATCTTTTTCTCAGGCAGCTTCTCTCTTTTCATTCTCTCTCGCTATTGCTTCTGCTGGCTCAGTTTCACATATCCTGAACCCACTCGCTTCCCAGCTCTGACTGCACCCACTTTTTTTTTTTTTTTGAGAGCTGCTCCTTCAGCTGACTTTCCTTCTTTGATGCTCAAATTCTATGTAACAAAATATTTATAAATATTTTATCCTATCTCTTATTCCCAAGAAAATATGATTCTGTTTTAAGTGAATCCAGCTCCTCTTTGGTCTAAGGCAATAGGAAGCTTGTCATAGCAGAAAGTGGTCTCTGGATGTGTGGTCTGTCCTGGCTTGACTGCCACCCCCTGTCCATTGGACCCAAGGTAACTTACTAAATTGTTTTGGGTCTTGGTTTCCTCATCTATGAAATGAGAGGCTGAGAAGAGATTTACATTAAGGGTTTTCCCATCCATGAGACCCTCTCCCCTCCAACCCCCCTCCCCCCGCAACTCCATTTGTAGACTCAGATATACTTGATTATATCTCATCTTTGGGACTTCCCCATTTTAGGTTGTAGTACTGGGCTGTGTTCTCTTCTCCCAGTCTGTAGTTGCAACTTTAGATTTCATTCACCTTCCATTATTGAATGTCTCTTACATGCCAGACTGAGCTGAGCACATTTATATACACTCTTTCATTTAGTTCTCACAACAGCCCTGGGAGACAAGCCACATTTCCCCCTAAGAGTCCTGGGCTCACAGCCAGGAAGGGACCTGTCCAGCACTGGAACTTAAAGCCTCTGACTCTATATCACTCTTCCCCCTGTTCTGTAGCTGTGCCGTCTCCTCCCTCTCTCTCGTCTTTCACTTCTGTGGAGGACTGTGTGTTCTGGTCCTTGGCATGACCCTCCCACACCTGGCCTTCGCTGATGACTCTCTGCCCAGGTCAGGTCTGGCACCTTAACTGTGCAGCTGTCAGAGGCTCACAGCACACTCTCGCACTTTAAAAATCACAAGTTACTCCCCAGGGGTCTGACTCCGCGTTTGTTTCCAGTTTGGTTTGTAGCTTCTTCGGTCAGGGCATTGGAGAGGAGTGATTTCTTTGATCACATCACCAAGGCCCAGCAGTTCTTTGTCCTCCCTGACACTGTGCTCTTTGTTTTGCTCTATACCGCTTTATTGGAGGAAATCATTGCTTTGTTTACTTCATAATTGATAACTTACCCTCACTAAGAAAAATTCCAGTGGTTGATCTTATTAGAGATAATTACTCCATTTAAGCTTCTTTTTTAAAAAAAATTTATATATCTATTTATTTTTGGCTGCACTGAGTCTTCATTGCTGAGCTTAGGCTTTCTTCAGTTGTGGTGAGCAGGGGCTGCTCTTTATTGAGGTGCAAGGGCCTCAACAAGTGCAAAGAACTTTCAGTGCTGGAACTTAAAAACCATTGCAGTGGCTTTTCTCATTGCAGAGCATGGGCTCTGGGCACATGGGTCGCAGTAGTTGCGGCTCACAGGCTCCAGAGCTGGGGCTCAGTAGTTGTGGCACATGGGCTTAGTTGCCCCACAGCACATAGGATCTTTCTGAACTAAGGATCAAACCCATGTCCCCTGCATTGCAAGGCAGATTCTTAATCACTGGATCACCAGGGAATTCATCAGCTACATTCATGAGATTTGAGTCTCCCACTGCTTGTCATTTAGAGTATGTCTACGGTGGCTTTTTACCAAATCACCTTGTGATTTACCATTTGATCAAGAATGACTTTCTTATTTCTTCCTGGTAGTGAAAGAAGTAGAGTCTGTCTATTTTGTTTCTTTTGACACTTCAACTAAGTGCCCAGGGTTAGAACCTGTTGAGCGTTAGAGTATTAAGGTTAGTGGTGACTTGTTTTGAGTTGACCATTAAGATTTATAGTCCCAGAGCATATGTATGTGTGTATGTATGTGTGTGTTTGTGTGTGTGCGTGGGCTGAAATGTATACTTGAGGTCAGTATTTGATGTTTATTAATCTGAAGTTAAATATCTGATGTTTTACTAAATTCAAATACAGCTTTGCAGAGCAGTTCTGAATATGACCCTTAGGGTCCTTGAATAGCGTTCCCAGCTGTATCACTTGACCATCTCTGGGCCACAACTTGCCACCTCTGTCCAGTGAGCTCCAGAGAGAAGGGAGTCACATGCAAACACTAAGCAATGACACCAAGTTGTGGTTGTTTGTGAGGACTGTCCAGTGGTCCCTGTCACGCCTGTGGCCACGTCTAGCCTAGCACCATCTTCACTTGAACACTGTCTCTTTATGTGAACTGTTTCCCCACTTCAGATCACGGACAACCCTCCCTCTCACTCCCCACCCGACACGTGACCATCTGATTCTCTTCTGTATTCCTGGCACTTTGGCCATTTCCTGGCCCATAGCAGTTTGCTCATCAGATATTTACAGAGCTGAATGGGTATGAGGTACATATAGCCCAGACAAGTGAATGACCAGAGATTTGAAAATCCAGCTAATTAAAAGGCCCTTTCCTCTACCGAGTGTGAAGATCTCTATCACTGGTTTACTCTCTCCCCACAGATGTTCAGTGCTTTCCAAAACGCCAACATCTTGGTGCTCATTGCAGGGTGTCACTGTGAGTATCCTTCCTCCTCTGAAGAGGGCTGCGTTTTGAATCCTGGATCCTCTCCTCCCCAGGTGTCTGACCCTGTGTATGTTCCTGGTTTGGTTTGTAGCTTTTGTGGTCAGGTCACTTGAGAAGAATGATTTCTTTGACACTGGCATCACTAAGGCCCACCTGTTCCTCACCCTCCACGATGCTGTGCTATTTGCTTTGTCAAGGAAGTTGCCAGAGTCCTCCGAGTTAAGTGTGGACGAATCAGAGACCGTGATACAGGAAACCTTCTCAGAGACAGACAAGGTTGGATGATGTGAGGCAACGGGGGTTGGGGGGGAGGGACATCTAATCAGAGAGAGATGAGCAATGTGCAGGGAAGGTTTTTGAGTGTGGCTGTCCCAGAATGTGAGATGCTGAAAGGTTCCCTTACCAGTCGGTAAAGAGCAGCCAACCTGGGTCCCCAGGTTCTCAGACTGCCATGACATCTGCATGCCCTTCAGGATCCTTTCCCAGCCGGAGAAGGGTTACCCCACTCAGAAGAGGCCTCGAGGATCCTTTCACGGCAAGCTTGGTTACTGCCAGTGCCATACCGATTAATACCTATTTTAAATATCTCCCTATCCTTGGGATGGATAATAAAACTGACAAGCTAGCAGATGTAAAGATCTGGCAGTCTAACTTTATGACTAGAGCAAAAGGTAGGGATTATGGACAGAGACAAAGCTAAAGAAGACAGCAAGGGTCCAGGTCACGAAGGGCCTTACACACCGTGCCGTGGATTATACTAAGTCCCCTACATACAAATGAGCTCTGCTTCAAGAGTGCGTTCGTAAGTCCAACACAGCTAGCCTAGGTACCCAAGTAACACAATTAGCTGTATAGTACCGTACTGCAATAGGTTTATAATACTTTTCACACAAACAACACATAAAAACAAATTCAAAAAATAAACATTTTCAGTCTTACAATACAGTACCTTGAAAAGTACAGTAATGCTCCAGGGGCTGACATCGAGGGAACAGGTAAGAAGAGTTGGGGTGGGGGGGGCGGGAAGAGGTGGGAGATGGTAGAGCTGAAGGATGGTCAGCAATAGGAGATGGAGGGCAAGCTGCAATGTCACTCACGCCTGACATTGATGGCACAGGTTCTGGTTCCTTGCTGGAACCAGATGCACGTTCACATCTTTGAAAGTTCGCAACTTGAAGGTTTGTATGTAGGGGACATATTATACATGAGGGGATTGGAAAGACAAGTAAAATCAAGAAGACAAGACATTCGGGAATGCTGACAAGACCACTGTGGTTTAAATGGATGATCATGAAATCTAGGCTGGCTTAGAAAAACTAGAGGAGTTGGAAGTTATGGAGCCCAAAGCATAGTAAGTAACTGGGAAACTAGAAGGTGCTAAGAAGATGAAAAGCAAATTTAGACCAGAAATATTTTCTACTTTGCCAGGAACCCATGCTTTCTGGTACCATTAAGTCCTACTATATTCTGAAATTCCTTGACTGTTCAAAAATTAAATACACTTGGGAAATTTTAACCCATCTAACTGTGTGTATTTCAGAAAGAAGAATCAAGACATAAAGCAAGTAGAAGTCTTACAGAAGCCCCCACAAGTAAAATTCCAGCCTTCTCCTTACTCCCAGACTCAGAGATGGAGGAGGAATCAGACTTGGATCTGTATTCCACAATACAGATGTCTAAAGACCCTGGGCTGAATCTGGACCTAGACCTGGATCGTGAGGTGGAGCCTGAGTCAGAGCTGGAGCCTGAATCTGAGCTGGATCAAGAGACAGAGCTCGCGCCTGAGCCAGAGGCCAGTCCCAGGCCGAATAGGCAAAAGTACTGGTCTCTGTTCAAGGCTATAATTCCCAGATCCCCAACTCAGACTCAGGGTAGGACACAGTCAGTAGAGAGGAGGCATCAAAATGTGAAACCATATACATCCAAGGCTGGCACCAGTGAGGATACTTTGGAGATGAGCTAGGAGTAAGGCATCACATTTCCTTGGCAAATCCTCCCCACCCAAACAGGGCCACTTGGTCCGTAGATGCGGGCTAGTTACAGACTAGCAGTACTCGCTTGGCGTCTCCTCCACCTGCTGGCCTCCTTCCTTGCTCAGCACTAGGATCGCACTCCGAGGTCACAATGCTAACCAACCAAAACTTATCTCTGAATTCCTTATCCAGGCTTACTTCATCTTTTTTTTTTTTTTCAGTTTTAAAAATTAAAACTTTATTTAAAACATTTGAATCCATTGTGGTTTTTACACAATGTGTTATTTTATTTTGTTTTTTAATGTTATTAGAGTATAGTTGCTTTACAATAGTGTGTTAGTTTCTGCTGTACAGTGAAGTGAACTGGTTATACATATACATGTATCCTACATGTAAGACCTTTTTTTAGATTTTCTTCTCTTTTGGTTCACCACAGACCCTTGAGTTGAGTTCCATGTGCTAAACAGCAGGTTCTCATTAGTTATCTGTTTTATATATCTGTTTTATAGTGGTATATGTATGTCAATCCCATCTCCCAATTTGTCCCACTCCTCCTCCCCCCCCCCCCGCCATCAGTAACCATGTTTGTTGTCTATATTTGCGACTCTATTTACACTTTTCCAATAAATGCATCTGTACCATTTTTCTAGATTCCACATATAAGAGATATACAATATTTGTTGTTTTTCTTACTTTACTCTATTTGACAATGCACAATGTTTTTTACACTTCTGTTCAACTATGTGAGATGTATCTGCAGTTCTGATAGAATATTTGAGATACAGATGGTTAGCCTTTATAGAAATTATACATCCTTTCATTGATGATGAGGGTAATATAAGGATGGTTCTTTAAATGAAAATTAAATATTACTGAGAAAAAAATGCTGTTAAAATGAGTATTCTCGTATTTATTGCAGGAATGAAGTGGAAGACTTCATAAACTGTCATTTTTGTTGTTCTCCATAATAGAAGACTGTCTGTTGGAAGTTAACCAAAGCATCCTATTATCCCACTGTGTAGCAGATTAATGGAGTTTAAAATAAACTTCCTTGTATTTTACAAGAAAATGGAGGGCTACATACTGCTTGCTATGTAAATAGAGGTTTAATTAACATTTAAGGTTTTGCACCTTCAGACATTGCAAGTGTTAATTAAATCTGTATTTACATGGCATGAAATGCAGATTATGTGCTTTTCTTGTAAGAGTCAACAAAATTTGTTCGAAGTACAACTATTCCCAAGTGTAGTCAAAAGTTTTGTGAAGAATAATCTCTTTTTTTTCATTTATTTTTATTAGTCGGAGGCTAATTACAATATTGTAGTGTTTTTTGCCATACATTGACATGAATCAGCCATGGATTTACATGGGCTCACTTCATCTTACCTTCCCCAGATGTTCCACTGAAGCACTTCCTTCTTCACACCCCTCACCCTTGTGATTTTTTTCAGACCACCTCTAACTTATTCCCCTCATCTCTGTTCCCCTTCCTCCAAAGAAATGAGGCTCAAATAAAATACATAACTCTAGTTATATCCGGACCCTTCCTGCATCTTCTCCCTTCTCTGAATTCTGTATGCCGAAGAAAATGTCAGGTGGAAGAAATTCCAGAAGTAGGTAGACATGGTGGGGAAGAAAGGAGCAATAAAAAGAAGAACTGCACAGCGTCTGTATTTTATATGTAGGTTATCTCCACTGTGGCTTCCCTGGTGGTTCAGATGTGAAAGAATCTGCCTGCAATGCAGGAGACTCAGGTTCTAATCCCTGGTTTGGGAAGATCCCTTGAGGTAGGAAATGGCAATCCACTCCAGTATTCTTGCCTGGAGAATTCCACGGACAGAGAATCGGACTGATACTCTACTATCTCCACTGTACAGGAGAAAATAGGCAGGTTAAGTTAGGCCAGCCTGTGAAGGTCTGCAGTAAAAAGAACTGTTAAGCTGAAAGCAGTTTTGCCATCACTCCAAGGTCAGGATCTTATCTTGACAGTTTCAGAAGGCCCATAAACTGGACCACCTGATGTGAATGTTAGCTCTATACAGCTCCCCATGGTCTTCAGATTACCTTCACCATTACTTCTTCCATACAATTTTTTAAGATGCAGGCAACCTAGAATCTGTACTGTCAGTGGGCCAAATTTAGTTAAAATCTGTGACAGACACAAACTCCTTAGGAATGGAGAAAGTCAATCAAGTCACTAGTTTGGTCCAAATTCATTAAAAAAAAGTCCCCTCCTCCATTAAAAAAGTCTAGTATTAAGGTACAACCTGAAGAGAAATATAATCTCCTAGGCAAAGGCATATGGAATACTGAATTTTATTTCCCACTCAGTAAACAAGATTCCTCTTGCTTAAATAATCAACTTCTCTCACCTGTTGGATGAAAGAAATACTTGTTAAAGTGTGTCTCTTTTCACAGAGCTAGCAGGTGCATTTACTCATTCTGCAGACATTTACTAAGCATCTGCCACAGCACCCCAAACTGTGGGGTAAGTAAGAGAGTATATCCCTCCCTACTTGAAACATGTATAAGGTGAGACATAAGTTTTGTAACTAGCCCAAGGTCATATACAATCAGAGACAGCCTTAAAAGAAGTGGGAGCCCAAGTCAATCTTCATTTGTTCCTGTTTACTCAGCACATTTACTGAACTCCTACTATGTGCCAACCATCATCCCAAGTTCTGAAGACACAAAACAAGCAGGATAGACAACAAAAATAAATTGTGATAAGTACCTTGAAACCCAGAATACCAGAAACCCAGAGGGCATAACATCAGGAAGACCTGCACCTATCTTGGGTGTCAAAGAAGCTCTTCCTATGGTGATGGCATGTGGCCATGCATCTGATGGACAAGAAAGAGACTTAAGGCAGGGCCCAATGACTGCCGGGAAGGCAGAGCCAGATGGGTGCCCGAGAGTGGTGACGGTGGGTTACGTACAGAAGCTGGGCACTCGGACACCCACAGTTGGAGCCTAAGGGTGATTACCACGACCAAGGGTTCAACCAGAAGCTGGGTCAGACCAGGAATGAACTGTCAGGAGCACTGAACTGTGGCAGGAACAGGCACAGAAATGTTTCAAAACCATGAAAACATTTCACGTTCAAAACAGGAGTTACTAGGAAGTGCATGCAGAGCCCAGTTTCTGTGAATGGCTGTATTCCAGCCCCCTTTCAGGCCCACACTTGCATCAGAGGAAAGTCTCTCAACACAGAAGCAATGGCTTCGGACACTCTGGTAGAGTTTAGACTTTGGTCCTTTCTGTTATAACTGCAACATGGCTAAAAATTGACTTTCATGCATGTCCTCAGATAGACCAACCTGATGCTTGGACTACAGTCTGTCTTTAAAGAACATTCTCTATAAATCCATAGCATCCATCCCCACCCAAAATAAGAATAAATAATGGTCAACTGATTGTAAATAGTTCAGCATTAAAGAAAGAATAAAGTGAGCAACAATTCAAAGGCTGAGTCTTCTTCCAAAATGCAGGTCACCTGAAATTCTGACATTTCAAACTTTACAAAATGCCATGGTTTGGATTGGTTGGCTCACTTTTCATTGCATGGTCATCATTGCAGATTTTATATCTCTCATGGGAAATTGGAGAAAAATTCTAAAGCCAAAAAAACTAGTATAGGCCGGATCTGAAAGTATAATTATTTTCGCACAAATCCCTGATGGCTCAGTTGGTAAAGAATCTGCCTGCAATGCAGGAGACCCCGATTCGATTCCTGGGTTGGGGAGATTGGCTAGAGAAGGGATAGGCTACCCACTCCAGTATTCATGGGTTTCTCTGGTGGCTCAGCTGGTGAAGAATCTGCCTGCAATGCGGGAGACTTGGGTTTGATCCCTGGGTTGGGAAGATCCCACGGAGATGGGAAAGGCTACCCACACCAGTATTCTGGCCTGGAGAATTCCATAGACTGTATAGTCCATGGGGTCACAAAGAGCTGGACACGACTGAGCGACTTTTTCACTTACACTGGGAAAAAAAGACCTCAAAGTGGCTATGTTCTACAGTAAATGGATTATAGGGGTAGGATTTATATTAATACATATTAAAAAACTAAGTGAAATCAATAGAACTGTAGAAAAGTAGGTTTGGAAAAAAATATTGGTACAAATAGGTGGCCCTAGGTAGCTGTCTCTAGATCCATTGAACATCACAAAGCCCAATGGATTGTAACTTGATCTTACCCATATCTTATTTAGATGATATTTAGATGAGACTTTGCACTTAGACCTTTTGAGTTGCTGCTATGTGAGAAGGTCATGAAGTTTGGGGAGCCAGAGATGGAATGCTATGGTCTAAATGTGTTGTCCCAAATTCATATGTTGAAATCCTAATCCCCAAGATAATGTTATTAGGAGATGGGGCCTTTGGGGGTAATTAGGTCACCCTTATAATTATTAATGGGATTACTGGGCTTATAAAAGAGGCCTCAGAGAGATCCCTCCTCCCACTATATGAGAACACAGCAAGGAAACAGCCATCTATGAGCTAGATAGTGGGTTCCCACCAGACACCTAACCTGCCAGCACTTTGATCTTGGACTTCCCAGCCTCCAAAAGTGTGAGAAATAAATTTCTGTTATTTATAAGCCACTCATTCTATTGTATTTTGTTATAGCAGCCCAAATGGACTAACATGCCCAAGGACTTAACTACACTGCATCTAGATTCAGTGCTCATTTATCACTAGAAATACAGAAAGCAATGGCAGAATCCATAATCCATGATGGCATAATAATCTTGAGATCATAGAATCTCAGTGCTAAAAAGGACCATGAGGGTCATCTAGACTAATTTTACCCATCCAGGCTCCTACAATTAAATTTAATTAAACACATACTTAATTGGAAGACTCACCGTATCCCAAATACTCCATGTTTCCATAATCTATTACTACATAACAATGGACCCAAAATTTAGTGGCTTAAACAATAGTCATATATTTGCTTACAATCCTGCAATCTGGGCTGGGTTAACCTGGACCCATTCATGAGGCTGTAGTCATCTAGAGATCCGCCTGGAGCTAGAAATTGAAGATGGCTTTGCTCACAAGTCGTGGTGTCTCTGCTGAGATGGCAGGAAGAGCTGGAGATTGGCCAGGCAGTGATCTCTCTCTCTGCAAGATTTCTCCAGAAGGGTACCTGGACTTCACACAGTGGCTCAAGGCAGCGTGTCATCCGCCACATTCTGTTAATCAAAGTAAAGTGACAAGCCCAGCCTTGATTCATTGTGAAGG